CCCTAGATTTCTACTAACCTAAAGTCTATCGTCATCATAACGTACTCTCATATGTGGAAATAAATCTTTAAAACTTTATCATAAAACACTGTCATGGACTTACGTGTTCGAAAATATATTTAAAACAACAAAATCAAATATTGAATAGAAAAAATAAATTAAAAGTAAAAACACCGTGTATGAACCTAAAGTCTAAGAAATGAAATAACATTATCCTATGCATGTGCCATGGTCTTTACTTGTGATGTCGTCGTCAGCTGTACAAGGGTGTCTTGCCTTTACTTGTAATAGAAGTAGCACACGACTTGAGTATTTTAGGAAATACCCAATAAATGACTCCACTATTAGGGTCACGGAATGCAAATGCATGCAACCCATGCTTAGGGACCTATCATTAAAACCATCGTAGGGGTGGCCTCCAGTCTGGACAAAATTGGATGTGCGTGCAAGTGTGAGTCTTCAGGCAGTTTGCACGCCCCCTAGACCCATCATAGTAAAGCTGGTTGTCCATAGCCAGACGTCCGGAGGTCAGCAAATTCCGAGTATCATGCGAGGCATGATCATGATCATCGCAAGATTATGAGAAAAATAATTATCATTTTCTTGTCTAATGGTGTACGCAATTGTACCATTGTAAAGGAGACATAACCTGATGCATTTAACATTAAATGATACATAAGGTCCCAACATTTTTGTTCATTAAATCCCATAAAAAAAAAACTCATTCCATTTTCCTTCATATCATATCATTTTTCAACATTGTCTTTAAGACATGTATCGGGGTTGAATACCGTATCATTCCTATCATACATCATATTATGTCGTACCATGCACATAACATGTCCTTCAACATATTATATCATAGAAATATCATATCATAGACATGATGTCATAGACATATCACATCATATCATAATGCATGTCTCATCATGTATTATATCGCCAAACATATTACACCATAACATAAATCACATCATCAGCACATCACATGTAATGGCCCTAGATTTTTACTAACCTAAACTCACTACCGTCATCATAGTCTATGCTCTTATGTGGAAGAAACATTTAAAACATCATCATGAAACATAATCTTTATCTTAAAACATTACTTCAACTTAAAACACTGCCATGGACTTACCAGTTTGAAAGCGAATTTAAAACTAGATAAGAACAATAATAAATAAAGCTAGAAATTTTTTTAATGAAAAACATCCTATACTAGCCAAAGTCTAAGAAAAGAAAATATTACTATCCTATGCACGTGGTATGGTCTCTGATTGCAATGTCATCGTCAACGGTACATGGGTGCCTTGCCTTTACCTAAAGTAGAAATAGCACATGACTCGAGTATTTTAAGAAATACTAAGTAAGTGACCCCACTGATGGGGTCAAAGAATGCAAACATGTGTAACTAATGATCTAAGACCTATCATTCAAACGATCATGGGGTGCCCTCCAATTTAGACAACATTGGATGTGTAGTACTTCCATACACACAACCCACATGTGCGAGCTGGATCCCAGGCAGTTCACACACCCTAGACTAGCCTACGACGTAGATCTTGTAGACTTGACGTGTTCCATGGTTCACTCATCGATGCTCTATCACCATTATGTACACCATGCATAAGATTAAAAAAGGAAAATGTTATGATGATATTATTGTGATTAGCTCTATTTTTTAAATGTTATGTAGCATGAAAATTGACGAGCTTTAATTATATTATATATTGCAGCATGATGCTTGATCTAATTTTGCTATTATATGCTTGCTATGTTGTATGAATTTTTTATGTGTACTATGATATTGTATTGTTAGTAAATGATAGACTTAAAAAGAATTATCTTGGTATTTAGAACCATGTCACCCAGAGGATGTGGAAGAGGAAGAAGAGGAAGGGGAGGACCCTTACGATGTAGAGGAAGAGGTGGGGCTAAAAAGAGCTCACCTCGAGAAGGATTAGTAATTAGGAAGGATGCAGCTGCATTGCCTCAAGTTGTACCGCCACAAGCTGCACCACCTCTAGCAGCACTAGTGACTGGAATAGACCCCACTACTAGTTTGATGCGATAGTCATTTTAGGTCATGATGCATGCCATAATGGTCACCAAACAATCCAACACTTGCAATCTACTAGAGGAGCGAACTGGCTACGAGACTTCAAGCGGTATGATTCGCACCCATTCACTAGTACTACGAGAGATCCAATAGAAGTTTAGATGTGGATTTCGTTCATGGAAATCATATTATGTCAATGGAATGTCTGGACAACCAGAAGGTACCTTGTGCGTCATTTATGCTACAAAAGAATGCGTTAGTATGGTGGACGGACAATAAGGATAATATTAATTCAAGAGGGGGAATCATGGCGTGAGATCAATTTAAGGAGGCTTTCCTAAATAAGTATTATCCCAAAGCGGTATGACTTAAGAAACAGCAGAAATTCACCAATCTGACTTAGGGTGGACACTCAATGGACAAATATGATAGAGAACTTATGAGATTAAAAAGGTTTGTGCCGTCATTGGTGGATACTGAACAAAAGATGACATATAAAGTTTTTTTTGGGCCTAGACTTTTAGGTCTGCTACATGGTGGAAGCCATAAACCCAAAGATGTATGAGGAGGTACTAAGAACGGCAAAAAATCCCTGAAAAGTCTCAAGAGGAAAGACATCGAGAACAAGTGGTCACTATCAGAAGGAAGTGATCGTATGAGCCTAGAGGGACAGACTATCGACCACCCACGCAAAGGCCTTAATATGCTGATAGACGTCCTGCCCAACATTTACACAGACACAAGGGATAAAGAGAGGGGCCAGGAACATGAGATGCTTCGATGCCACTAATGCGGAAAACAACACTGAGGTAAATGTATGGTAGGCTCAAGGATATGCTTAGATGTGGTCGTGAACATCAAATGACCAAATACTATATTAGGAAGCATACCAAGAGTCCAAAAGAACCACCTAGAGGTTAGGAAGTGGCGAGCGAACTGTGCAAACCCGCTTGCAAGCAAAGGAATATGCATCCACCAGTAGAGATGCTGGAACATTTGACACCATGGTGATAGGTACGCTATCTATACTAAGTCACTATGCATTAACGATATTTGATTCTAATTCTATGCATTCGTTTATATCCATGTCTTTTGTTAGTCAAGCAGGATTCACGGTAGAACCCTTATTGCATGTATTATATGTTAGTACTCTAGTGGGAGTACATCTAGTTACTGAGAATAGGATAAAAGACGGACAAGTAATAGTAGCTGGACATATCATAAGCATAGATCTGAAATTAGTGAGTATGACAGATTTTGATGTCATATTAGGAATGTTTTGGTTAGCTGAAAATTATGCAAGTATAGATTGCCACAAGAAGAAAGTGGTTTTTCGCCACCAAGTAGACCTAACTTTAAGTTTAAAGGAACCTGTACGGGTGTCACCCCAAAGATAGTGTCGATGATGAAAGCCAAACGCTTGGTACAACAAGGAGGATGGGATATACTAACATGCACAGTGGACATAAAAGGAAAAGAGAAAACAATGGATACGGTATCCACAGTAAACGATTTTTCAAGTGTCTTCCGAGAGGATTTACTAGGAGTTTCTCCTTCACGAGCTGTAGACTTCGAGATAGAACTCAAACCAAGAACTGGACCTATCTCTAAAGCACTATACCACATGGCTCCAACAGAATTAAAGGAACTAAAATTACAACTACAAGACCTACTATAAAAGGGTTTCATTTGACCTAGTTTATCTTGATGGTGTGTGTCGGTGTTGTTTGTGAAAAAGAAAGACGGGTCGATGCGCCTTTGTATTAACTATGGGGAGCAAAATAAGAAAACACTAAAGAACAACTACCAACTTCCTTGCATGGATGATTTATTCTACTAGCTCTGAGAGGCGACAGTATTTTCCAAGATAGACCTTCAATAAAGCTATCATCGAATTACTTTTAAGGAAGGAGATGTATCGAAAACAAGTTTGTAGTGATGTAATTGGCCTCACCAATGCCCCAACCGTGTTCATGAAATTAATAAACCATGTATTCAAGGAATGTCTAAACATGTTTGTTATCGTGTTCATTGACAACATTCTAATATACTTGAAAATGGATCAAGAACACCAAGAACACCTCCGAAAAGTCTTAACTATCTTAAGGTAGAACAAGTTGTATGCTAAGTTTTTCAAATGTGAATTTTTGCTGTGAAAAGTCCCATTCTTAGAACATGTAGTGTCTAAAGATGGGATTTAAGTGGAATCCACGGTTGGTTATAAACTTTTTTTTTTTATTTTGCTTTATAAGTTTTTTTTGGGTTAAAAAAAAAATAGTGGTTAGTATTTATTTTATTTCTGTTGCTTATTTCTCCATGAAAAAAGGCGGGAGATATTGGAAGTAGTGGAAGGAACTAGTTTTTAGGGAGTGGAATAATAGGAGTGGAAGGAATGGTGCAGTACAGTAGAATGGGTAAAAATTTTATTATATAAGGAAAATGGTGCAAGTTCTAAAGACACCCCAAAAATAATAAAATTAATTTGTGTGTCTTCGCTTCTTCTCCCCTTCTGTTACTTTTTTTTTTCTTTCAATGTGTATCAGAGCTACAAGATCAAGGCCTGTTTTCAATCATGTCTCACCTAGAGTTTGAGCGGTCAAGAAGGGAGAGAGATAAAAAAATGAGACAGGAATTGAGTAACAGGAGACAAAACACCGGTGCGATAGAAGGAGAGGCCTCACATGAAGTGAGTGTACGAACTCAAGAAAAGGAGGGATCTGTCACACTCAAATATCCGATGTTGACAAAATGCAACTATGCAACTTGGGCGATTAAGATGGAGGTATTTATGATTGCACAAGGTATTTGGGAGGCAATTGAGTCACCCGAAACAGTAGATAACTGCAAAGATAAGATGACTTTAGCAGCTATTTATCAAAGTATTGGAGAAGATACGTTGCTATAGTCGGGTGCCAAGAAAACGGCCAAGGAAGCCTGGATCATGATGAAGAATATGAATCTAGGTGCAGAAAAAGTGAAAGAAGTTAGAACGCAGACTCTTTGGCAGGAGTTTGAAGCGTTGAGGATGGGTGATTCAGAAAGTATTGATGAGTATTATGGAAAACTCACCATTATTGTCAACAAATTGAGAGGCCTCGGAAATACTGTGGATCATATCCAAGTAGTTAAGAAACTTCTATGATCCACCTCTGTAAAGTTTCTTAAAATCACTTCAACGATTGAGGAGTTCAGTGATCTCAAAATGAAATCCGTTGATGAGATTATTGGATCACTCAAGGCACATGAAGAAAGGTTGCAAGGGTTTGGAGAAAAAGATGAAACTGTTCTCCTCAAGGAGATGAAGTGACTGGCATTAAGGAGATGAAGGAGAGTCACAAACTCAAAAGAAGAAATTTGACAAAAGTAAATATAAACATTACAGGTGTCAGCAAATGGGACACTTCGAATCAGAGTGTTCCACAAAAGACGAACAACTCAACTTGATAGAGATGCAAAAGGATGAGGAGTCTTCATTGCTGATGATAGAGGCGTGTGAAACTAAAACTACATATGACAAAGAGCCTGATTTTGTGATGTTGAATGAAACTATAGTGCCGCCATCAGCCAATATTGGAGTTGAAAATTCCTGGTTCCTAGATACTGGAGCAAACAACCACATGTCAGGAGAAAGGAGGGTGTTTCGTGAGCTCGACACATCTATTATTGGAAAGGTATGCTACGGTGATAACTCCGTAATAGACATTTGTGGTCGAGGAATAGTGCTCTTTAAATGCAAAACCGATGAGCACTTGATCTTATCGCAAGTCTATTACATACCTAAACTGAAAAGCAATATTTTAAGTTTGGGACAACTGGATGATGAGAGTGGAAATAAAATTGTCATAGAGGACAGTGTGATGAAGATATATGACAGGGCTAGGAGCCTGATTATTATGGTGACTAGACAATCCAACAGATTGTATGTAGCAAAGTTGAAGCTTGCAGATCAAGTGTGTTTAATGACGAATACCAGTAACGGTGGTTGGCTCTAACATGCAAGGTATGAACACCTGAATTTTCACTCGTTAAAGAAATAAATGACAAAAGAATGGTTGAAGGGTTGCCGAAAATCACCCAGATCAATCAATTTTTTTATGGGTGTTTAATTGGAAAGCCGCATAGGACTCCTTTGTTAGATAAAACCTGAGTTTTTCCTTATTTAGATTCACACGATTACATTAATTCTCCGTCTGACCATTTGACAAACACGTCGAATGGATTAACGAAGTTTTAGACGTCGAATGGATTAACGAAGTTTTAGACTGCAATTTTGTAGGAAGTGGCACAGATTCAGTTGCCACTCTCCATCCATTCTTAGAATAGGTTATATTTAAATAGGAAATCTATTCAGAAGATTTCACAACCTGATTTTAAGCGCAGTCAAAATTTCAGTCATTCTCTCTCCTTGTTATTTTACTCGTTTTATTTTTCTTCCAACAACCTCCTGTCGACAATTTCCTCTCACCGAAAAGAAAGGATTTCCTTGGCCGATTATCAAAATACAACATCCTTTTCCTCGAACAACAACATATCGTGCGAAGGAGTCATTGGATCTTGTCCATGGAGATCTATGTGGACCTATTTCGCCAATGACTTATGGAGGTAACAAATATTTTATGCTACTAGTGGATGATTTTTCACAATTTATATGGATGTTTATGTTGAAAAACAAGAATGAAACACTGGTGGTATTTAAAAAGTTGAAGATCAATGTGGAGGTAGAGAAATGCAAGAAGATTAAGAGCTTTAGAACAGACTGTGGATGAGAGTTCATATCTACTGGTTTTAAAGACCATTGCGAGAATGAAGGCATGAAAAGACTTCTTACTGCACCATCTTCACCACAGCAAAATGGCGTAGTAGAAAGGCGTAATCGAACAGTGGTAGAGATGGCCAGATGTATGTTAAAGAGCAAAGAGATGCCTGCAAAATTTTGGGAAGAAGCTATCAAAACTGCTGTGTATATTCTGAACAGATCGCCAACAAAAGGAGTTGCAGATGGTACACCGTGTCAAGCTTCGTTTGACAAGATACCAAAGGTTCATCACTTTAAAATCTTCGGGTGTCTTGCTCATGCCAAGAATACATATTCACACCTTCCTAAATTTGCTGATAGGAGTGTGAAGACAGTTATGTTAGGATATGAAGATGGAACCAAAACTTACAGACTATTGGATCCCCAAAAGAACAGAATTATGGTGAGCAGGGATGTGGTGTTTGAAGAGGAGAAAAAGTGGTGTCGGGAAGAAATCACAAACGGTGATAATGAATAAAGAGAAACTTTCACCGTTCAAATTTAAGAAAAACAGAGTAGATAAGAGGAGAGGAATATTGAACATATCGAAGTTGATTCAGATGAAAGACAAAGGGAAAATTCATCCTCAACTTTATCAACGCCAGACAGTACCTCAAATGCATCATCGTCAAGCTCATCGACGCTGAAAAAATTTAGGTCTTTAGAAGATATTTATAGAGAAACGAAGCAGAGGAGGAAGCAGTGGACCTTTGTTTTCTTTCTTTAGAGAAGCCAACTTCATATGAGGAAGCTGTTAAGAATGAAAACTTGAGGAATGCCATGATGTCTCAAATTCTCTCCATTGAAAAGAACAGAATGTGGGAACTCACAGATTTGCCAAAGAATCATCAAGCAATCGGCATCAAATGGATTTTCAAATTAAAGAAAAATTCAAATGGAGAAATCATAAAATATAAGGCTAGACTCGTGGCAAAGGGATATGCATATTAGTTTGGTGTAGATTACAGTGAAGTATTCGCACCAGTAGTTAGGTTAGAAACAGTGAGATTAATTCTTGCCTATGCAGCCTTTAAGAACTGGGAAGTACATCATATGGATGTAAAGACAGCTTTTCTGAATGGCGAGTTAGAAGAGGAGGTGTATGTTGCTCAACCAGAAGGGTTCGTTGACAAAGAAAATCCAAACATGGTGTTAAAACTACGTAAAGCCTTGTATGGATTAAAACAGGCTGCGATAGCCTGAAATTTTAAACTTGATCAATGTTTGCAGTCACTTGGTTTTGATAGATGTCCACAGGAATATGCTCTCTACAAAAAAATTAATGGAGTTGAAGCAATGATAATCGGCACATATGTGGATGACTTAATCATAGCCGGCTCAAACAAACAAGTTATAGCTTAGTTCAAGGAAGAGATGTATCAGAAATTTGAGATTTTTATATGCAATGACGCACGTGAGGCCAGTGCCAAGACCTAAAATAAAGACTAGTGTCAGCTCCAATGCTCATGGTTTCAGAAAGCTCAGAGGGATACGTAATCTACAACGATGCATCCAAAAAAAAGATTAGGGTGCATGTTGATGCAACATTGTGAGGTTGTTACTTATGCATCACGCCAATTAAAAGAATATGAAAAAGACTACCCTACGCACAACCTAGAATTGGCTGCAGTAGTATTCGCAATATAGATATGGTGACACTACCTGTATGGAGAAGAGACCCAAATTTACACCGACCACAATAACCTATAATACTTCTTCACCCAAAAAGAACTGAACGTGCGACAACGAAGGTAGTTGGAATTAGTGAAGGACTACGATATAGATATCCAGTACCACCCTGGAAAGGCAAACGTAGTCGGAGATGCCCTAAATCATAAAATGGCACACTCGTTGGTCCTCATCACTAGAGAGTTAAAAGTGCAAGTGAACTTCGAGTGAGTTTGTTGTAAAAGTGTTAGTTGTTATGTTTTAGTAATCCTGAACATGAGGTCTCACTAATATGGTCTTCTACCGCATCGTTTTGGCATGATATTCTGATATTCTGCCTTCCACTTTTGTTAAGCATTGTACTGGCTATAAATATAGTCACTTTTCACGCCAATTCAGGCATCTTGGGTCGAAGTTCAATTTGGGTTGGCTCACTGTAGCGTTTACGGTTAGGCAGCTAATTGGGTTTCTATTTACGAACTAGGCTGCTGATTGGGTTTCTGTTTACAGACTGGGCCGTGAGTAAGTTTGGCTGCGGGTTGGTTTGGTTGGGTTGAGGGAACTTGCGCCTCAAGTTTGTAGAGGCAGGCACGGGTCGCGAGTTGCGGGCTGGATTGACAGTTGGCTACTTGTTTGAGGAGGGATTTAGTTTTTAGGTTCTACAAGTAGGCTGGAGACGGGTCACAGGCTAAACTATTAAGCTACAATGGGTTTGGGTCTCGGGTATTCGATTCGGGTTTAACTTGAATCCATTCGATTCGTCTTCCTTACCCAACTCAGCGCGATTCTTCAGTGTCCCTTTCTCTCTCCTCGTTAAGACGGTTTTCGATGCCACCTTCTTCATCTCTCTTTCGTCATCTTCTTCTTCTCTCTCTCATGAAGTTTCGTGGTTGTTGGACGTTTGGGGAGGTAGATCAGAAATTCTTCCAAAAGTCTGATTTTTCGAATTCCCTCGTCAAAGACAACGATGCACATTGTGAATCCTCTTTGGGGATATACTAAGGTCGGTGAGGTCTTTCATGGTTGATCTGTTTGGTTAAAATGCGGGGCTGAGGGTTTCGACATCACGGGTTTCCCTGCTGGAGCTATTCTTCAGTTTTCTCCTTCTCTCGAATTTTTTTCGTCTCTTCTTTGGTTGTAGTTGTTATGAGCGGTTTAGGTGTTGAGAAATAAACTTAAATGGAGTAGAGAGAAGAAAAAAAATAATTATGATTTTTTGTTTGTTATCTGGTGAAAAAGACCATTACGAAATTTGAGAGGGGAAAGTGCTGATGGGAGAGAGAAAAGTGAGGACACTAAATTTGAGAGGGAAAAGGGTTATGGGAGAGAGAAAAGTGAGGGAAGTTACCGATAAACTTAGCCTGTTAAAAACTATAAAAGGGCCTTAAAGGGCCTTATGTATGTTGAAAAAAGTGGAGAGAGAAAAAGAACAAGAGGGAGAAGAAAAGCATAAAGCAATTTAGTTATTGTGTAATAACCAGAACTTCTTTGTCTCCTTGTCTCTCTCCCTTTCAAGAGAGTTATCTAAATGAGTTAGATTCAAAGCGAAAGTTTTTTTTTTTCTCAAGTTGGTATCGGGCGGCTTTATTTTTCTACAAATTGGTATTAGAGCGATTTCAATTTCAACAAATTTGTATCAGAGCAATTCGAATTTCAATATTGGGGAGGTTGTTGACGTTCGTGTGGCGATGGTTGAAGGTTGAAGGAGGCATTGTGAGGGGTCGGGGAACACGATTTCGCTGGCACGGAATTACCGGCGACTAAGTTTTTTTTTTTTTTTTCATATAATTCAGATTCGTTACATTATTTACCCCTAAAAAGAACTTTCGTCCTCGAAATTTTTAAACTCTTGTACTAACTTGGGGTATTATTCTCTTATTTCATCCTCCTACACCCACCGTGTCCCCCTTGATATGGTTGCTCTGACACAACACTTAAACGAACGTAATGTCCCTGGTTTGGTAGCACTTTCACTTCTTTGGTTAAAATTCTATTGGTTTTCCTCGTAACTCAAATCTTCATTGAGTGGGAGGAGCTTGTAGTCTATTATGTGTATAGGGCCCACATGTTATTACTCTACATCTACACGTGAATTACCTCGTGTACTTCTGAGAGGGAGGGAGGTAGGGCTAACTTATACACTAAATACCAATTCACTCGACAATTTTGACAGGTCCAATGCATCTAGGACTTACTTGCCCTTACGTCTGAACCTCAAAAAGCCTCTCATGGGTGCTACCTTTAGGAATACTTGGTCCCCTACCTCAAACTCTAAGTCTCTACGTCTTACATCGGCATAACTTTTTTTTGTCTACTTTGAGTGGTACACATTCTCGCTCAAATTTTTTGGTTAGTCGCATTGGCAACTAGGTCTAGCTCGGGTCCTACTAACTTTCTCTCACCTACCTCATCCCAACATAGCGGGGACGTGCACCGTTTTCCATAAAGGGTCTCGAACAGTGTCATTCAAATAGTGGCTTGAAAGCGCAACTTCCCTTAAAGTCTAATACGCAAGAACGTAGAATGTCC